CCAAGAGTTGGCATAGCCTTCATTCTTCTCCACTTTGCCAGTTGCTTCTGCATCATCAGTACAGCTTGAGTCAAGTCCTAGAAGTGATGCTAGCACACTAGTTAAATATTCCTCATTTCCTAGGTTTCAGGCAAGCAGAGAAACCAAAGCAGTAATTAAACCTCCTATCTATAAATATGAAGCATTTTCTGTTGACAAGGGATGAAAATCAGTGACACCCATCAAACCAGGTAAAGACAATCATCAGCATAGACTTCTCCCTCTGGACTATTTACTTCTATTATTGTCATCAGATAGCATATCTTGAATCTTATAATCATAGGGATTTTTTAACTTCTTTCTATACAATTAAAAGTTATAAGTTAAGAATGAACTATTTGGGCAATCATCACTGCAAAGAAGCCAGAAATTATAGCTAGGTATATAGGACATTACCAATGTTATAGCTACATTGCAGTTAAGTAATTGTCAGGGTAGTAAATGGTTTGCATTAAATAAGAAGGTAAGTACAGTTAAAATGTTCTGTCGGATTCTAAATATATTCCAGCCGTTAATTCTTTAAGACACAACAATCTATTTTTCTGACTTTCTACAGCAGTTTCTATAGTTTGGTTCTCTTGATACACATTAAATAGAATTAAAAAGTGAGAATATTTCCTACTCCTACATTAAATACATGGTCACCCATTTCAGAATAAATAGCATCTGAGGGATCACCGCCTCTGACTCATTCCTCATGTCAAAATAAATGTCAAAAATTAAGGTAAGATAAAGTGAGATGAGGTATAGTGAGGTAAGGTAACGTAAGGTAAGGTAGAAACAAACATCCTTAACTGGAAGGTGTATCTGGAACTCTCCTAATAGCCTTTTTCCATTTAATAGATCTTCAGTAAGGAACACATTTTTCAATAATTGTAAATTTTAATATTTGGTTTTGCTGTTGCTATTGTCATACAAAGACTCTATATATACAGTAGTGGCCAAAATTGTGGAAACCTTTTGGGAAAAGTGTATTTTTGAAGTTTAATGGCTAATAACACCACTTTGTTTGAAGTAGTACCATAAAATTATATATCGATAAAAAGATAATTTAATCAAGAATGTAATGCAACAAGGTTTGTTCAATTATCTGTACTGTATTCTATGAAAGGTTATAGCCAAATAACCAGAAAGAGGAAGCACAACTTGCTTAGATTGATATCAGGTAGCTTTCCTTCATCTGATTGTAGCCAATGAGTATGAGTGTTTAGAGAGCCAATCAGGTGTCATCTTGTTTGGGCAATGAGCCAAAACAGATCACAGTAGGATTCAGTTATTGATGTCATATATTGAAGCTGAGAGGAGAACGTTTGTCAGTGTGTTATGTGATAGCTATCAAGTTGGTTGGGTTTTTTTGTGTTCTTTCATTTAGTGAGCTTGTAAAACATAATAAAATTAAAGTAATGGTGCAAAGAGTTGACTGGTTGCCCAGAAAGTGATGTAAAATAGTATTATTAAGTGAATGAGGCTACAGTTATAAAGAAATTAGAAGAAAAATTGGTGGAAACTTGACCAAAGGTGGCATTTCTACTGTACACTTTTCCCAAAAGGTTTCTACAATTTTGGCCACTACTATATATATATATGTGTGTTTGTGTGTGTGTGTGTGTGTGTGTGTATCACATGCATGCACGTAGACATTTAAATCCCTTCCCCCTTTTTTTAAAAGACAGGGACAATGGAAAATGCCCTCAATGCACAAACAGGATAACACAGTCGCTGGGCAGGGAATGGGTATCACTTTTACAAAAAGCTCTCTCTCTCTCTCCAACATGCTGCTGTTCCCCTGAAGGGTTACCAGAGAAGCTTCAGAGAATTTCAGCATATTCTGTTCACAGGATAAATCTTTTTCAAACTCGTTTCTGTGTCATATTAAGTCTGACAAATGATAAGGGCTGACAAATTATCAAAAAACTGACCTTAAGTGACTTTAATCAGAATTAAGTAATTATGGTAGTAGCTACAGTAACATAAATAAGAAAATGTGTCTATGGATGCTTCAACTGACTCAAGTGCTTATCTGGAGATCTTTTTTTTTTTAAAAAACAAAAACAAAACCCCATGATCCACTGGCTGTTAGCTGACAGGGAAGAGGAAAAAGGGAAGAATCGCTGATTTGCCCTCTCTCCCATCCAGATGGTAAACTTTTCAGATTTCTAGTTGTTGTATTGTGAATTGAAGGCATCTCATCACAGAGTGTTTCTGTACCATTTCCCAGTGGAAGACAGGACAATGTGCCAAAGTCTGGATTAAATCATTTTACTAACTGGAATATATTTGGGGCCAAGAATTGGCCAGGCTGAAAATAGCTATGCTCATAAAATTCATAGGACAGCTTTACAATATTTATCACCATACTTCTGGATTTTTCTTCCACAAAATTAAATAACAGTATAGAGAATTAACAAAAGCACTCATAAATGATGGTACTTTTACAGCAAGGGTCCCCCACCCCCAAGCCACGGATCAGTATCTGATGGGTGAGTAAATGAAACTTCATCTGCACATGCGCGGGATCTAGGTTATGTGCACAAAACCATCTCCCCCCCCCAGTCCGTGGAAGACAATTTTTTCTTCTGAAACAAGTTCCTGGAGCCAGAGAAGCTGGGGATTACTGCTTTACAGTACTCTGCCTCTCTGTGTGCATTTGATAAACATACAAAAACATGTATGCATATCAAGAAAAAGTGCATTCAGCAAGGAAAACTCCAAGTTATTATATATAAACAGGATGCAAACCTCACACTCACTCATACTGATGGTGTTACCTAGTTGGGTAATGAAATATATGGAAGTAAACAACCAAGTTCAGCGAGCACTGAGGACGCATGGTTCAATTCTGAGCTATAAATATTATCTTCTATTGAAAACTCAATTGCCGATGTTAGCTTTACAAAAAATACATTACTTTGCAGTGATTCATGGATGATCTTAAAACATTTCTTCTGAAAATCAGTTGATTTGTTCCCTTCATGAGAAGCAGTCAATTTGACACTTTTCCTCTTGCTCTGTGGCTGATAATGAATTACTCAGGTTTCCTAGTATTTGTTTGGCGAATAAATGGAGAATTGCCAAGATGCCTGGATTGCTACAAATCCATTTGTAAATGGGAAAGGAAATTTTTCTTCATAAATTGAGAGCAGATTGGGTAATAGTCAAACTAAGCCACAGCCTGAAACCAAGATTTTAACAGAAAGTAAGAATGGACTAGAATAACAGCTCAAGTTTCTCCTTTAAAATGCTATTTATTTTTTTAAAGCTCTCTTAATAAAGTGCCTGGGGTATATTTCCTCAGCTATTTGCAAAGTACCACTTTGCAGCTAAGCACACTGTAAATTGTCCTATATCTACTTTCTTTTCAACACTCCAATAAAGGGCTTTGCCTGCTCTCCTCTTATTAGGATCACATAAATCAAGGTCTATTAAAGGCCAAGCTTGGTAACCCGAAAAACACAACTCAATGCAATGAGAAATGTTGTTATGGTTGCTGTTGTGCTGGCTGAAGTAAAGGAAAACTTAAAAAAAAAAATTCAAGGGCCAGAACACAACTATGTATATTAGAAATGCGCATAATCTAATACGTACAACTGTGCATGTTAGAATTAGAAATACTTTGTGTTTCTAATCACACTTGGCCAAATAAAGCTATTCTATTCTATTCTATTCTATTCTATTCTATTCTATTCTATTCTATTCTATTCTATTCTATTCTATTCCATTCCATTCCATTTTTCTTAATTTAATTATATATCATTGCTGTCTTTAATGCTTTATATAGAGTTAAAAAGAAAGCTAATTAAGTAAAATTATTAAGAACTGTGGTACATGTTTATATTTCTGAAAATCATTGCATGTTTACATGGATCAATTCTACACCACTTTCATGAAAATTCAATAAGGCATTTCATTGTTTCATTTGAAAATGCATAGGGACCTCTGTGCAACTAAGCCTAAAAATTCAAGCCCCACAATACACAATAGGATGGTGCTCCTGAGATCTGCATGCCTTAAAAAGCACATAAAATATAGGCTCTGCAATATATGTTAAGTGATTTAAAAGCACAGTATATCATACAATCCTTTTATATACAGTACAGGGATTCATATTGCCCGTTGTCCAAAAAAGAGGAAAAAAGGCACCTTTGTTTTTTAAATACAACTCCCAGATTTTTCTTGACCCAATTCCTGTAGTTTTCATGGTATCAGTGTAGGAAATGGTTTGGTACTGCCTTTTTCTAGTTTGTTTTGTTTGTTTGTTTTTAGTGTTCAATTTAGCCAAAGTTCTGAAATTTTTACGGTAGTCTTTCATACAAGTAACAACATCAACAACAATAGCAACTAGGTGCTGCCGCATAGTGCACTTTGTACACTCTTAAAAGCACATTAACATGATGTTCAGAAACCCGTCACACAGGTTGCATAGTTCAGAGACATCCCTCTCCCTCTTATTACACGTCTACTTGTAAGGATGAAATTTATTCTCTGCAAAATCTTTTTCATCTCCCTCATTCTTAGACTAACTTCATTCTTTCTAATTGGGCCCGTCGGAGTAGATCCACCACATCATATCTAAGGTCCATGTATTTCCTATCATTCATACACAGCTCTTTACAACTGTATCGCTCAGGGTCCACTGAGAAATCAGTCGGTGTGGAATGTATGCGTACGGAAAGCCACCTTTACTCCAATGGCTCTTCAACTCTGTCACCCCCTAAAATGATAAATGAGTTTGTGTGTTGAGTGTTCCTGTCGAATCAAAACATTGATTTCATCAGTGTTAAGGATGCACAAAGAATACATCTGTCACTTTTAATAATTCAATTTTACTTCATATATCACAGGAATCTTTAAAGATGATAGTAGAGCAACTGTTCCCTGTGGGCTCACTCAAACAAATGAGCAGCAAAGCCCAAAGTGGATTTTGACAATGCTCTCTTGTTTTCCACACAAGTCCCATTACATTTTTTTTTTTTACAAAATTGTGACACGCCAGGTTGCTTGAGGCTCTCCAATGGAGGGAGGTGGTGGTACTGAGAGAACCCCAACCCACACTCTGAGAACTCCCATTTTAACCCATTTGATTTGCAGGACCTCTTGAAATAATTATACCTAAAAATTAGCTTACCACAAAGGGTTGCAGTTTACTTTTCCATTTGGACACTGAAATAGCCAATGCCTAGTCCTGGCAGCTAGTTTTTAATTCCTCAAAAAAGGCAAAGGAGCTGCTATCAAGCCTTCTTTGTAAAGCTGATGTTGTTTCAGAAGATAATGGACTTCTCCTTGGGGGATTAGTAGGATGTTAATTACAATGATCTCAGACATTTCAAATTAATTCACTTCTGAACTATGCTTGAACAACTTGCCTCTGTCAAGTTTTCTGAACATCAGAAGACTCCAAAGTCAACAAAAGGCTGAAATGTCCAGTTTTTGATTCAGGATCGTTGGTACCACTTTGAGAAAGATAATCTTCACTTGAGGCCTTATATTCCTGCTACATTTTCAGAAATGCAACCTGCAGGAAAACAAAATGTAGCCCTCAAATTAGCATCTACACAGTTAAGCTTTAACACATACACACTTATACAGACACCCATCCACAAATGAACAAAATCATTCTCAATAAGTTATAGTCAGATAAAGAGTGCAGACAAGTGTTCCAATAGCTTAGAAAGAGGAAAGTGTTCTGAAGAAATGGCATTTTCACTTTTATCTCTTCTGACTTCTGAGTGTAGATTGAAATCATAAATTGCACTGCATATAATGTGACATCTACTACCAACATCAAGCAGGTACAGACATTTTCACTTTATGAAACAAAGAATAAAAAAAAATGCTCTGTCAAATTCCTTCCAAAACTTAATGTGCCCTGAAGAATCTCACTGATAGAATCTGGGCATTTCATTCCATGTTTATCCATTTAGTAAATTAATACAATTCCTATGATGAGTTATCCCAATGTATGAAATAAATCATTCCCGGCCAAAAATTCGAAGAAATTTTAATCACTAAGATAAAATTATAGGATGAATACAGAAATAAAATCAGTAAAAGGGGAGTGCTAATGATTGCATGTCAGTGTAGTGTACTGGTTCTGATGGCAGTGCAAAAACATTCTTATTTGGCTTGCTTTGCAAGCTGGGTTTTAATATTATGCACGAGGGCAGTTTTTGATAGGATGCTTCTTAGATTTCATCTGTTATGTGCTGCTTCAGTACTAGCTGAATTTTTTTCAAATAGGGCAGGCAGTAGAAATCTGTATCAATAAATGTCAAAGCAAAGGTGAATTAATTTTATGCATCATTAAGAGATTAGTGAAAACTGAACAACAACAACAAAAAAAAAACCCCAAGAAAAATAGATCTAGCACTGCATGAAGGTAGCAGGAAGAGCCTTGTAACGTGGAACCTGATCTCCCCCCTCCCTGTTTGTGATTTTTGGAACAGTGATGTTTTGCTTTCGGAGATAATTAAAGACATAGTGCTTCCTTGTGGCTCTGATACCAATATTGTTCTATTTGCCGTGTTAGAAAAATTTCATGTTGTCTCGGTTCGTATTAAGATGTCCCACATATCAAGGAGAATAGCAAAGAAGGCAGCTAACTGAAGGCATCCTTTACTCATCATCATCATCATCATCATCATCATCATCATCATCATCATAAAGTTGGAAGTGACCTTGGAGGTCATCAAGTCCAACCCCCTGCTCAGGCAGGTAACCTTATACCATTTCGGACAAGTGACTGTCCAGCTTCTTCTTAAAAACTTCCAGTGTTGGAGCATTCACCGCTTCTGGAGGCAGGTTGTTCCACTGGTTAATTGTTCTAACTGTCAGGAAGTTTCTCCTTAATTCTAGGTTGCTTCTCTCCTTGATTAGTTTCCACTCGTTACTTCTTGTCCTGCCTTCAGGCGCCTTGGAGAATAGCTTGACTCCCTCTTCTTTGTGGCAGCCCCTGAGATATTGGAACACTGCTATCATGTCCCCCCTCGTACTTCTCTTCATTAAACTAGATATATCCAATTCCAGCAACCGTTCCTTATGTTTTAGCCTCCAGTCCCCTAATCATCTTTGTTGCTCTTCTCTGTACTCTTTCTAGAGTCTCAACATCTTTTAGTGAAAATGAAAGGCAAAAATTACAGGTAACTGCAGAAGCTGATAACATGGGAAGTGCTTTATTCTGGTCTGACCCATTGGTCAATCTAACTCAGCATGCTATGTCTTCAGTTATACGCAGCTAGCGCAAAAGTGGCACTGATCTTTCTGAGCCCTATTTGAAGATGCCTAAGACTGAGCAATGGTTTTCTGCATAGAGAACAGGTGTTCTTTCTTTCTTTTAATGAGCTTACTTATGAATAGACATGCAAATGATATCCCTGGTTTTTTTTCTGTGAAATACAAGCAGGTTCCCCAAAATTCAAACACAGTGAAGGCATTTGAAGCTATTTTTAAGCCAAGAAAAGGCCAAGACCTTTAAGTATGCAATGCTTTTGCTACACCACTGAACATGGAATCCTTCTGTTACATGATTTTTTTCAGAATTCTAAATGTCCTTGCATTGTTTTTGCTTGCTGATTCATGCCACTACATAGATCAACTATTTGTCTGAATTAGCTACATATTTGATTACTGTATTACTGCTCACAAAAGGAGATCCCCTACTGATATTTACTTGGATTACAATACCATACCTAACCTACATTTTTATTTCCAAGCTCAGAATATTAGTTATCAGGCAAGATCCCTTTTATATTGCTTTATCAAGGGAAGATTACTTTTCTCAGCTAGCAATATATGGAATCGTCAGATTAGCAATCATTATTAGGGAGCATTTTGAAAATGCTTAGGAAGAAACCTACTTTCAACTGTAATGGCAACTTTCACCATTAATAGCAATAGCAAATGCATTTAGCCTTACATACCACTTCATAGTGCTTTAAAGCCCTCTCTAAGCAATTGACAGAGTCAGTATATTGTCCCCAACAATCTGGGCCAATTTTATTTTATCGACTTCGGAAGGATGGAAGGCTGAATCAAGAGCCATCAGAATTGAACTCCTGGCCATGAGCAGTGAGTTAGTCTGCAATACTGCATTCTAACTAGTGCACCACCACAGCTTCTTTGGCAGATGCTGTAGTTTGTTTAGAAAAGCTGGGAAATAAAAGCTCATTGTCAAGGTTCCAATAGACAAGACCAAATAAATCAGAATTCCGAGGCCTGAGATTTCCTCAAAGAACATGTTTATTGGTTACATGGTATTGGCACGGTCAAAAATGAAACCAAGTCTGAAATTCCCTTCAGAAAGCAACAACATTGCAAAGTTGAACTTCCCACCCCAGACCTATGCAATTAGCTATGTTTTCCAATAGAAGAGCTTGGCAGGCTTTCTAACTAAATGCTCCAGCCCCTATCTAACTGACAGAAATGACCTTGGCTCCCATGGGACAGTAAAATGTTTAGACTAGTAGAAATCCTCCATCATCCTCCATCCCCCTCCCAATCCTGTGTCAACTTAGAACAAAGGAAATGGCTGCAGCCAGGTTCTTTGTAGAGTTGGCACTCATTCTTGATAGCCACTACTTCAAGAAAACAAGGCCTTCCAAATTTTGTGGAATTGGCAACAGAGATGTTAGATACAAGAAATGAATGAGAAGGTTAAAAAAGCTCAAAGTCAAAGGAGAAACCAAAGTTTGGTTTGAAAAAAGCCAACATAGTCCTAGGCTATATTAACAGAGGGATAGAATCAAGTTCATGAGAAGTGATACTACCACTTTATAATGCCTTGGTAAGATCACACTTGGAATACTGCATCCAATTTTGTTCACCACAATATTAAAAAGATATTGAGACTCTGGAAAGAGTGCAGAGAAGAGCGACAAAGATGATCAGGGGGCTGAAGGCTAAAACATATAAAGAATGCTTGACACAAATTGGGTATATCTAGTCTAGTGAAAAGAAGAACTAGGGATGACATGATAGCAGTGTTTCATTATTTGAGGGGTTGCTACAAAGAAGAGGGGATCAATCTATTTTCCAAATCACCAGAAGGCAGGACAAGAAGCAATGAATGGAAAATGAACTAAGAGAGAAGCAACCTAGAACTAAGGAGAAATTTCCCGACAGCAAGAGTAGTCAACCAGTGGAACAACTTGCCTTCAGAAGTTGTGGGTGCTCCAACACTGGAGGCTTTTAAGAAGGGACTGGACAACCATTTGTCTAAAATGGTATAGGGTCTCCTGCTTGAGCAGGGGGTTGGACTAGAAGACCTCCAAGGTCCCCTCCAATTCTGTTATTCTTTATATGATAAAAGAAATGGATTTATTTTTCAACACTGTCCTCTTGGCTGCAAAAAAGGTAGCAATTCAATGTGACACATGAAGAACTGACATTAGTCAAAGGTTTTTTTTTTCTCCCTAGAGAAAAAATAAGTTTCCAAAGTGCCTGTGAATTTTAGCTACTTTTTAAAATGTTACTAGCATAGACGTTTTAATATCAGGCAGGAACAATGATGTTTATTCAGTGACCAACAATCCTCCACATGAGATAATCTGCAGTTATATCAATTCGGGAACATTGTCCTCTCCCTCAGTTTGACAACTGATTTGTCAAGCGAATGGAACAAATCATAATCTTCAAAGGAAAGGGTGACCTCTATGGTGAGAGGAACTACTTTTTGAGGGAAAACGGTGTCACCTGAAACATGTTTTCATTGTACACAATAAATCAAAGGAAACATTCCTCCCAGTCTGAAAAATAATAACATTTTTCCAACATTATCTTCATAAAGTTAAGATAACTTTCTGTGGGCTCATCCCAGAATAGGAAAGCTGAAACATAAATGCACATATATAAAAAAAAATACAGATAAAGCATTCCATTTGTTTTACCAAAGTTCCTCTAAAATAGGCAACATTCCAATACGAACTTGAGAGTTTCTCTACTGAATGCTTGTATGTCACTCTAATTTCAACTTCTGATCCTTCAGGAGACGGAAAAGGAAATCACTACAAAATTCTATTGATTTTTTATGCTGCAATAATAACAAGAGAAAAACCTAATTATCACTTGCTATATCAGCCCAGAAACCAATTCATCCACCAATTCTTAGTGGGGGTTAATTTTGCTTCCCCCACCATTTACTACAAAAGTTCAAAAATAACAGGGTGGGTACCAGTGGAAGACCCTTCAAATTCTTGCTTTAACACAGTGGTTCTCAACCTTTCTAATGCCGCAACCCCATAATACAGTTCCTCATGTTGTGGTGACCCCCAACCACTTATACATCACCGGGTGCCAGGGGCGTGGCCAAAGAAAAGGGGGAAAAAATGGCGGACAGCCTTGTTTGGCGACCCCCGTGAAATGGTCGTTCGACCCCAACTGGGGTCCCGACCCACAGGTTGAGAACCACTGCTTTAACATGTCAGAAGTTGCAGTATTCGTTATATAGTAAAGATTCTAAGGATGCAATGTATGCATCTCTTTACATGAGATTTTCCTACTAAGCTCATACAGATCTAT